TGAGCCCATTACTCCTTGTCCTGTCATCTGCCCCCACTGAGAACAGCCCAGCTCCATCCTCTTTGCAGCCCCTCTGCAGGGAGGTGAAGGCTGCTATCAAATCCCCCTCGGTCCTCTCTTCTGCAGACTAAATCAGCCCAGTTCCCTCAGCCTCTCCTCCTAAGTCATGTGCTCCAACCCCTGAACCAACTTCATTGCCCTCCGCTGGACTCTCCCTTCAATGCTTTCTGCAGTGGGGGGCCCACAACTGGACACCGGACTCCAGATGTGTCCTCCCCAGTGCAGAATAAAGGGGAAGAATCACTGCCCTGCATCTGCTGGCAATGCTCCTACCGATGCAGCCCAGGATGCCCTTAACAAGGACACACTGCCGGCTCCATGCCACACAGGCAAAGGAAGCTCAGAGCCACCTCCGTCCTCACTGGAGAGGTTTGCCCAGCCCGTGGTGCAAGTTAGGGCTGCTCTCGCTTATGCTGGGCAGTCAGTGTCACAGCTTCCCCGCAGGTGAGGACTGCTACGATCCCTCCCAGACCTTGCATCTCCAGGCCCGGTGAGGCTGGAAGACAGAGGAGCCAGCTCTGTACCTGCCGCACACCCTTGGGGACCACGCTTGGCAAGTCTCGAGCCTCATGGCTCTGCAAGGCATCAGGCTGGCCCTGCGATGCAGAGGCCTGAGGCTGCAGAACAGCCTGCTCTGCTCAGAGGGTGGGGAAGGAAGAGCTGGGGATTTGTTTTCTAACCACTCGCTCTCCTGCTCCCACCCCAACTCAATTTGAGCTGCAGCGACACCTCCCGCCCTCTGCATTAAATATGCACGCCAATAAATATTTAATCACTGGATGGAGAACTAGGCAAGGCGTTTGGTAGCTGACAGCTACAAAACCTGCATTTAAAAGCCTGCTCCTGCAATTCATGCTGGCCGGGGAGATCGGCCTGGCTCATCTCTCTCCAGGAGGGGCACGGGGCAGAATCAGCCCTTGGCCGGGGCAGGACTGCGGTGGTGCCACCAGGTTGTTTTTCCTTCTGCAGCTGCCTGGCAAGGCCCTGGCCCAGGAGAGGAGCAAAGCCTGGGCCATGCCTCAGACACTGCTTGCAGGACAGGGTACCAGGAGAAGCCAGCACTCTCCTCCCTGCTCCAAGAGGCAGACAGGGATAAAGCTAACTCCACATGTCCCTGCGTTACTAAACCCATGTCATCCACAGCCCCCCAGAGTCTCCTCTGGCAGGTGAGAGGGGGGTGTGGGGCTGCCTTTAACCACAGGAAACCATTGGAAACAACTGGCTCAGCTCCTCCACCAAGAAGGTGGCCAGGGAGATGCATTCCCAGCCAGAAGCAGCTTGCATCAGTGCAAAGCAAGGGGCAGAGGGCACTCTTTGGACTGGGACAGCCTTTGCCCCATGCCACGATGGGCCAAAGGGTTGCAACGGAGAGCTCACCCTGGCACCCACAATCACCTGGCTTGGTGCAGCCATTCATCTTGCCCGTCAGCAGACTGCCACGCAGGAGTGGGACCTGCATTGGCACGAGGGCAGGCAGCTGAGAAGCCAGGCAGCTGCTCTTTGACAAGTTAATATTTACAAAGGTGCTCTATCAGCCCTAAAAATTCCTCTCGGCCGAAAGCTGGCACGCAGGCCTTGGACTGGGGAGACGTTCATTCCTACCAAATTTGGAATACATTTGCGTAATGTTTCTTTTTAATATATTACAGGAATGGGGGGTGGGGGGGGGATGTGCTACTGGTTTTGTAAACAACATTCAGTGCCCTATTTTAACTTGAAAATGGGCTTCTCGTTCCAACAGAGACGTCACAGATCATTGATTTGTCATGTAGAGCACCCCGGCTAGGGCTGGAGCGCTTTATTTTAAGGGTGGGAACTACTTTAATTACAAATTGGGGCACTGTGCTCTTTGGTGCCAATAAATTAGCATCAAGCCTTAGGCCCTGATGTTGAGATTGGACCTGGGTGGGCAGAAGCTGGCACCCACGCAGAGCCTTGGGGCTCTCCGTGGACTCCACACCTGCAATGGGGGCTGTCCATGCTGATCTGAGGGCCGCAACATTAATGACCAGTGTCCTGACCATTCCCACTCCCTCGGGGCATATCTGCAAAGCCTAATTTGGAAGCATCACAGCACAGACATCCAAAACTAGAACCCTCCTGAGGCTCATATGTGGATCAGAGGTACTGCTGAGTCTCCTTGCCATGGATGCATATGGAAAGCTCACCAAAGTCAGGGTGGGTTTTTGCACCTCCTCTATCAAATGCTGGGGACTGACAAGAAAGGGACCTGGATTACAGGGACTGAACGTCACAAAGCACATGCCCATGATGGTTTAAAATATCCCTAATAAGATACCTGCCCTTTGAAAACATCCCTTAGGCTCTATAGCAACATATCTGGGGCATTCATAACAGGATCTGAAATCCCACATTTCCACAACAGTTTTGTCCTTTTAAAGCTTTCAGCAGGGTACGAAATATCATGACCATTCGCAAGGGAACATGTTAACTTATTTTGATCAATTTTGAAGGCTGATTTCAGCCTTAGTGGAAGGGGTTGGGACATTATTTGGCCTTTAATTATCAACCTGTTGCATCAGTGAATTATCCATAGGCACGGGAGGTGTTGAGGGACCAGGTGTGAGGCAGGGCCACCTCTGCCAGATGTGGAGGCAGATGTAGCTAACAGAGCAGCCGGCGGGACTAGGCTGGACCCCGGCTGGCCCAGGAAGGCAGGGAGCTACAAGGCGCCACGCAGGACTTGGGGGACCTGGGGGGCAGCACAGGACTGGGCCGAGCCTGCTGCCCACGATCTACAGGAGTCTGCAGGCTTGCAACATATTTTTAATGAAATCCATTCGTTTCCCACCTTCCCGGACACCCTGCAAATATTGACTCCGAGGCAACACGTGCGCTCGCTCCCTGGCCCGGGGCTGGACACGAGCAGGAGGAGAGGAAACCCTTGGCTTATAGCAGATGCTGCTGTCGGTTGCAGAAACGAGCTCCCTACAATGATCACTTCCAGCTCCTCACAAAATGGAAGCAGCTTGTGATGGCTGACA